CTTCATCTGAGGAGGAGGAGGACCTGTTATCATACTATATTTTTTCCTCTGATGAAGATGCTATTAGCCATATGGAACTCCTGCCAGGAAACACCTTTTCCAAAAGTCTGGACTCTTCTGAGAGTGAAAATCAATGAGCTTCTCCTAATATATACAGAGGTAGAGCCAAATGGGCCTGGCGATTACATGGGATGAAGGAAAAATTAAAGGACATGCTGCCAACTGTGTGAAATTCAGTGCCTTCAGCAAATTACAGCATTGATGCACACTGCTCTGGAGAAAGATCATGTGGCTTAACAAGTGAATCAGTGGTAATTATTAGGAAAGGGAGGATTCATACATTTCATTACACATGCATTACTGACAAAAACAGAAAATAAGTGGCAGAACAAATTGATGTTAAAGCCATGATAGACCCATGGCTGCAGCCCAGCATGTTGACTGTAGGCCTGCAAATAACAGATCACAGTGTAAGACCATTTTCTGACTGATGATGCTCCAACTTATGTAAACAAGGGCAATCAGAAGCAGATGAGAGATCAGAGCTGTGGGCAGAGACAGAGTCTTGCGTCTGCCCTAATGATTAATACTCTGCCACCTGCCACTAGCCTAGCTGTGGCACCTGAGGCATCTCTGGAAGCAGCTGAGTTACAGCATTGTCTCATCTGCTCAACACTGCACAGAGGATGTGCGAGACAGGGAGGAGACGTGCAACAAGCTGCTGCTGCCTTTCTAACCCTTACTCTCCCCTCAACCTCAGCACTCGCAGAGAAATGTGGCTCCTATATGACAACAAACCACAGAGCATGAGGAATGAGGTAGAGACATTTTGCTTTTGATGTTCTTTCGCAAGAGACATCACACAGCTACACAGGGATCAGATGCCAATACTGTATAGTACTAAAGTATACGCAACAGAAATCATCTGCAGAAATGTACATTAAAATACAGCAAGAGAGACAGACAGACTTGCAGCTTTTGCAGGTTAAGCCCAGTGAACTGCAACAGTGATACTTCTAGCCCTAGGAGATATTTTTTTTCCTTTCCCTCTGATTAACAAAGGCCCCATTCTGACGTGATCAGATTACACTGTGAAAACCCAGGAGGAAAATGATCACACCTTCATTTCTTACCAATTTCAAAGGTGCCCCTGTGACAGAAAAATCAACATATTTCACAGCCAATCTGTGACTGTTTAACAAGAGTAAATGGTAAACCAGAACTGAATGCTCCTCCTCTAATTTAAAAAGCCCTCAAACAACTTTGCTTTACCATTAAATAGGGCTGCTTTGAAAGAGAAAACAACAACCCTCCACCTCCCTTTCAGCTGGATTAATGAGTCCGTGACATGGCTTTGTTTTAATCAAGCACCAATGGACCCAAACAAATCAAAGCAGGGCAATTATTTCAATTGTGAGCTATTTGGTGTTCATGTGTTGCACATTTCATACAGAAATGACGAGAAATGCGTATGAAATTTGTCACATGATGGCAAAGATATTGCCTAACTTTGATTAAGCCTCTATTTAGCTCTTGATAATTTATATTATTTTCCTTCCACAAACTATGCAATACAAAACATTACTTTTATAAGCCGCCATAAAACATATTGTGAGATTTAAGACTGGAAAAGCCACCCACGATTAGATACCGTGTTTAAGTCTACGTGCACAGGACATTTTTACTTACCAACTCCACAGGTAGTGCATTTAAACAGCTCATGCCCGTCGCACTCGGAGCAGGTGGGGTGACAGAGGACACACTGGTTCTTCAGCATAAACTGTCCTCTCGGACAGGGCGACGAGGGCTTACATCCAACAAATCCTACACCGTAGAGAAAGATCAGAAACGCGGCGAAGGAGCTCATGGCCGTGCAGTCAGGTCAGGACTGTCTCCAAAGACGCAGTGTCCGTGCGGCAGGTACGCTGGCGGATCGATATATGTGGGGCTCTGTGAACACCAGCCCAGAAATAACTTGCCGGACCAGTTCGTTCAAGTGAAACACGCTGACAATGAGCGTGGACTGCGGTCAGCATTTGGTACATGAACCTAAGAAGAAAGAGAGAGAACAGCCCAGTGTTCTGTGTCGCGGTAGATAGATAGATAGATAGATAGATAGATAGATTTAGCAAGACTAAAAATGAATACACTGAAACAAAAAAATAGGTAAAAACAGGGATATAAAAGGGCTAATGTAAAAACCCATCATTAAAACTAAGGCTATAACATTACTCCAAATTAAAAACCAGATTAATAAAATAGAGGTTGCCATTACACAGATTAGGGGCATAAAAATGTCTTGGGACACATGGGGGTGGAGGGTCATAGTGATCTGGTTGTTACTTAAAATGAAAGATAATCAGGACTAAAGTCATTTAAAATATGTTAATGGAAGTGGAGTGTCTGTTTCCGGACTTTTGGTACCAGTGTTGTGACAAACCACAATACCAACTAAAGACATAACCTACTTGTAATGGCTGGCAGCAATTACTGTCTGGTACTGTCTGTAACTAGGATAATGTTATTTATACCATGGTCTGGGTGAATACTCGATTCTGATTGGCTGCTGGGTGTCCATTAATGCCTGACAGGTGTCCATTATCAGGAATTAATGGATGAGAACTGTATATAGTCCACAAGCAGTGGACAGAACTGTCCAAGTGTTACAAGGGAAACAGAGTTATGGCTTTTAAAAACTTTAGATTTTGATTGCAAAACACTGTGTGTCAGACGGTTCCAAACTCCACGTTACACGTCCATTAATTTCTGATAATGGACACCTCATTGGGCATTATCCCTTACATAGGCCTATTAGTGGTCCAAGATTAAAACACTGCTTGTGGACTATATTGTTTGTTGGAAGAATATTTAATTGCTTTAACTATGTTTAATGAGAATCAGATTCAGATTCATTTTTATTGGCCAGGTACGTATGTGTGCACATACAGGAAATTTGACTCTGCTTGTACGTTGCTCTCAATGTACAAAAACAGACTACCAGTACTACTTGTTCTAAACAAAGCAAGTTACAAAAGACATAGACATATATGTACAGTTATTCATATCTATCAACAAACATTTGTAGACAGTAGACAATAGTGCAATGGTGCAGAGTGCAAAGGATGCTGAAATAAATATTTTACATGGAGGTATCTTTATGTAGCCTACATGGTGTAGGTGGATATGACCGTATAAACAGTATGCACAGCATAGGTAGATGTATTAAATTATCATTTTGTTTTGTTTTGTTTTATTTTGTTTGTAAAAAGAAGCAGAATTGTCAGCAATGGAAGATAAGTAATGAATGGATTCATTAAGAGTCCTAGGGTTATTGTACAGGGCAGTTAACTGTTGGTCAAAGTGATGACCTGTGGGTAGAAAATAATAGTAGTTTAAAACTCAGACATACATTCAAAAAGAGTATTTATTTTTAATTATAATGTATTGATATTGTCTTTTTCTTTGCTTTATTTTTAGGGCTACTGTTTGTGGACTATATTGTTTGTTGGAAGAATATTTATTTTCTTTAACTATGTTTAATAGTAGTAGTAGTAGTAATAGCAGTTTAAACCTCAGACAAACATTCAACAAGAGCATTAATTCTTAATTATAATGTATTAATATTGTGTTTTTTTAAATTATTATTATAAAGTCCTAAGCCACTGGACGGCCATGTATGTGCTCTCACGAAATGCTCTGTTTGAGTGAAGGCACAGCGGCCTCTGGCGGCTCCTCCCCGGTTGTGTAGCCCCCCTCCGAGGGCGTGTGCCACGGCCCCTCGCCGGCTGACGTCACGCGGCAGCGGCCGTCGGAGGGGGCGTGGCCTTGTTCTGCTGCAGCGGAGAAATATGACATGGGGATGAGCGAGAGGGAGAGGGAGAGTGAGACAGCCTGATAGGAATTAACGGTTCGTCAGAGGTCTGGACTGAAAACCTGAGGATGGGGAGTAATGACTGAAAACAGAACGGTAAGAGACAGACATGTTTTTTTTTTTTTTGTTGTTGTTTTTTTTATTATTTATTTTTTTTTTCCCGACACACAGAGCGCGACAGGCCGATTCATGGCTCATTTGATAGTGAACACAATAGGCGACCACTGCAGACAGGTGCACCTGCCTTTTATGCGAGTACGTGCCTCGATGCATTCAACTTCAGGTTTCCGTGAGAATACCTTTTTTTTAATTTTAGGTCGAAGGCAAATACATCGAGGCCACAAATCTCATCGACTGCTTGGGATGAGACGTTAGCCGGAGTCTCAGAGTTAAATGCTGTAAACATGGATGTGGATGTTGAATCTGTATGCTTAGTCACAGACCTTTGTAATGTGTGAACATACATACAGTAGCAATGTGATATATCTGAGACAGCTGAGCATATTTTCATGTGATGGCACAAACAAATAGCCCATTAGCTTATTGGGGCTATAAAGACCATGTTTCTTTTACATGGAATATTAATCACTACAGTGTATTTTGGGCCAGATGGCATAACATGTAGATGGTGGTGAAATGCATAACAGCTATAATTCATATTGTAAATCACAGCAGTTGTACTGTTTGTTCATCTTAGAATACAGGACGCTTTACAATTACTGCAAATACCACTGCCTGCTTTAATTCTGGTGCCCATATACATTTCTTTTATTGTTGGCCTGGTTCACGTTATCTACAAACTACGCCTGCCTGTAAAGATGGTGAGCCCACTAATTCACTGGTATGGTATTTTTAAAACCACGTCCATGTCCCCTGGGAAAGACCTACATAATAAAACCTTTAATCTATCATTAATATCATATTATATTTAAAGCTGGGTACCACACTGGTGAACTAAACTCGGCCATGGTCGATTTGGAACATGATGATTTACCTATCATATCAACTTGTTTGCTGTCTTACCTCTACAACTCATTCAGCCGCCTATTACCCTTTACCTGGGCTTACAAGATGGGCAGTTGACAGTAGTCGAGTCTGATTTGGAGACATCTTGAGTAGACGGGGCAGAGATACAAAGCAGGCCCCGTGGCTGCCAGGCCAAGCCAGGCCATGCCAGCTCCACAGAGGGCTTCAGTGCAGCAGGGCACTGGGGAGAGGGCGCTTGGCACCTGATCAGTTACCACAGTGAATTCTGTTCCTGTCACTGGCATTTAGCTACAGAAAAGCAGAGCAGAGATGACGGTTGTTGTTGAACCCAGTTGGGCTTTCATGTCACAGTGGAAGTGCCGCTTTATCAAACTGCTTCTCGACTGATACAAAATGACATTCCTTTGCAAACATCTGTGCCAGTTGCCCACTACCTAATTCAAAAAACCTTAGCAGCATAAGTCATTCTGATAAGCTATCATTGTAAAAAAAAAAAAAACAAAAAAAACACTGGTTGCATTATTAAAATAACATTTCATGTTTACAGTTATACATATTTTGCACCCAGCCGTAATGATGTGTTTTTCCACTAGTATCTTATCGTCAAAATAAATCATCTTGTGGACCCTGAAAAGTACCTCCAAAGGGGGCTAAAATCTAAAGAATCCTGTGTCTCCATGCCTGATTCCCCCAAAGTTTAGTCCTTCGGAGGAGATGAAATGAGTGAAGTGCCTGTGGTAATCATGGCCCAATCACTGCATGGCTTTGAAGTGGGCCCTGTTCTTTAGACATCTCTACAGGTGGGGAAGCAATGTTAAGTGTTCTGTCTGAAGGCAGTGGGAGGTCAGCTAGAGGCCATGGAGGCAGAGGGGCTCCTCTCACGCATTATAATAGGAGAGGGTGGAGGGAGTACTGGTCACCCTCCCAGAGTCACTGCGCTGTGGTCCTATGTGAGTCTCTACACTGGCCTTCATGTTGGATAGATCATTTGGGGGAAACGTGTCTCCCAGTGAATATGTGGCAATATGTAGTGTACCTCCAAGTCAAAGTAAAATGAAGTCGTAAGCCTTGTATCATAAAGCTGTAATAAATCCTTACACTGGTATTGCCTTTCACGCTGTGGTAAAGGCTTCAAACCACAGAAGTGGTGACTGCAATAACCATTTGACCATGATTTAAGAACTTTTTCATACTGAATCTAGATTTGATAGGCCAAAGCTTGTGTTTTACTTTCAGTACGTCTGGTTTTTTAAATTTCTGAATTGCTGAAGATACATAAGTGATCCCACATGGATTGTAACCACAGTCTAAAGGGGACCCATTGAACTGTAGATTTTTGAAAGGATGTTTGGATATCTGGCCTGTTGATATCTTTACTGTTACTGGAACCAGAAAATCCTAATTTCAGGCTCAGTGAGGAGGAAACCTAGATTGGGCTGATGTGGGACAAGGAAGTGGCAAGCACTGTGGATGACTGTGATAGGCTGAGACACCTGTCAGTCAAGCAAACAACTCCACAGACATGGTCCTCTTTCACCCTGAATGCTGTCCTAATTGATAGTCCTTTGTTTTTTTAAATGAAGTGAGTTTACAAGAAAGTGACTAGCTATTGAGGCAAAATCCCCCTTTGAATAAAATATATTTCAAGAGAGAATTTCGGGGCTTTCCCATTAATATTGAATACAGACAGTTTTCCTTAAGCTTAAGTTTTCATCACCAATGAGAATGTGTTATATTGAAGGCTGAGAGTGTCACCCTAAGACAGAAAGAGACCGCAAGTTGTGTGTGTATGTGTGACAGAAAGAGCCTTTTCTCATTCTCAGTCTTGTGTGTGTAGACCTGCATTTTAATCAGGAGAGACTTCATTAAGAGTCAACAAAACTTACTTACACATTCACCATAAAGATGAGAAACGCATGAATAGTCGTTGGCGATTAGATCCCGTTGTGACGTCATTAAATATTAGGGAGGTAATAACGGAAGTTGTGCGTGGTATAAGATACCCCCTCGATAAAGTCTAGAAACTGGTGGTGGTGACGGTTGATGAAGAGACTGCTGAAATCTGGAGGAGCTTCTGATGAGTTCAGAACTAGGAGCTGGAAGTCATGTAACTGGAGGTGAATGGGGGTTGAGGAGGATTGTGACGATTCACACTGAAAAGATAACAGCAGAGAGGAGAACAGATTTAAAGTTTGAAAGCAGCGATTTGTGGTGGAGATTGTAGCAAAATGTGTTTGGTTTTACTGAAAGAGTAACGCCCAAAGCTGGCTGATTACAGAGAAAACGAGGGAAGAGCGTAGCATAGTCTTCCTGATTGAACTTACACTAAGCTTCATTTGTGTTGCTTCGCTTGTCTGATGCTGAGTCTGGGAGCAGACGGACTGCTGGAGAGGTCTGCCATTGTAACATTCTCCCCACAAGGCCTGATGGGCACAGCCATCCCCAGTCCTGCCTCGAATCAGCAAGGGAGCAGTTTCTAAATCAAACAGAACAGTGTTGCACAGGATACCCTTGGTGACTCAATTTAGATTCATGCAGGCCCACAGCATAGGTCATTTTCATTCATTCAGAAAAAGAGGTCAGACCTCTTTTTCTCTGCAAAACCCGGCTGCATTTGTTGGAAACTCAGTGTATCTCCATTTTGTCTCACAGTTTATTTCCGTAGAAGGAGATATTAAAAGGGAAGTGCAGGTTAGACACTACCCTGAGCAAAGGAAGAGCAGCAGCGCTGTTGTTCAGCTTGCTTTCTACGTCATTCAATTCCTTAAGTAGAAAAAACAAATGCTCTGCCGCCTGTCACTGCCCTTTCTTTTCATTATGCCATAAGATACAACACATCTCGTCAAATGTTCAACAAAACCCGTTGGGGAGTAAATTTGTCCATTGTCAGATATAGAAACATTTCTCCCGTCTTCGTTGTCTCCGTTCCATCGAGATGAAGAAGAAGCGATCTGAGATGACTCAAGAGGGTCAAGAAGTTTATATTTTTGTACACTATATTTATCTTGTGAAGGTTTGCAGGGAATTTATTTTGATGTCACAGTCTGTTAGCAGTTATACGGTTGCACACATATATTGTACATTCATATGTGGTGGAGGTCTGCTCTGAATTTTCACCCTGCAGCTATTTCTCCCACTGCTTTTTATGCCTCTCCGTCCCACATACTCTCATAGGCTGATTAGCTGTTCCCCCCACCTACATATTTTCTCAACTGTGGGGTCCGGACCCTTGTGAGGTCTCTTGACTTGTAGATTGGGCTACTGGAAATTTCTAGGATTGACTGATGATTATTATATGTTTGGAATAAATTATCATTCAAATGTAAACAATCTATTTGCATTCCATGATGCTTTTGAGAATCAAATGCAGAGGAATGTCATCCTCAGCTGGACACGTGTTTTTGCTGTGGTCATTAACATTTCAGTACATTAAGTTAAGAATTCGGTTACTAGTAGTACCAGCAAGTACGGTGTAGTACTAGAGATCCCAGAATTCTGGGGGCAGCAGACATTCCTTGAGTAGCAGCTGGCGTGGTCCACCACTAACAATAAAAACTACTTTGTAGAGATGTAATTACAAAATGTAAAAACGTGGAATGGAAAGTGGTTGATTTCCACATTTTCATCTGAATCCCTGCACAGCTATAAGAACTTTAACTTTAACTTGGACCTGCAAGTCAAGTTGAATCAATCATGTACTGTACTTTTGGTTTGTACCACAACTGAACAGTGACACATTAATGACTATAAGTTATGGTGCTATCCATTTGTCTCGTAAATCCCCCGCCCGAGTTGCTCTGATGCGAGAACGTGACGTAATTGCCTGGCTTGTACCACTTTTAGCGCTCCAGTTTGTCTTTGGGCATTACGAGTCGGAAAGAACATGGACGCCACCAGTGCAGCAGCTGTGTTGTTATTGCTTGTGGCTTATCTAAACAAGCTCAATGTGAAATAATAATGTTTTTCTACAGAAACGCTAACATTTCAAGTAATTCCGTTATTGCAAGTCTTACATTTCAATAATATTTTGCCATTTTCGCCTATTTCAATTTCAACAAGTGCTGTGGCGTTTTTCTCGAGCCACCAGGGGCCACCAGGGGCCACCAGGGGCCTCCAGGGGCCACCAGGGGCAGTGGCAGGCTAGTGTTATTGTTAGCTACATTAGCCTATTTAGCAAACCAGCTCGAAAACAAAACTTTACATTGTATCGCACGCACAACAACACCGTGCAATGCATAAATTGGTGACAGGACTAAAGCAGCAATGTAAACAAGTGTGTAAGAGCATTTAAAATCGACATTAAAACGACCAACGTAGTACAAATACAAAGAAAATACATGTCAATATTGGCGCAGGCATCTTTGTTTTGCGAGTCGTACGTTCACCCTCGTTTAGCTCTGTGTACTCTGAGGAGCCCGGAGTGCAACGGCTGAAATTATGACCAAAAGGGGGTGTGTCTCTGTGAAATGTCGCGAGATAGCTGCGAGATTTACACTTTCCAACTCGGCCGGGGGATTTACGAGACAAATGGATAGCACCATTATTCCATACAAATGCCTAACAAATTAACAAATGAGCAGCTGGCACATCTGAAATTATAATATGTTCAATAATCAAAAAAGTGGCATATTATGTTTATATTTTTTGGCTCGTTCACAAAACCTCTGATGTAAATAGCGGACTACTTTTCTTTAAACTAGTCAATTAAAAGTGTACATATTGATCACATGGTAGTGTGGGCTATACCAAATCAGTAGATCACTTAAACTAACCATCTCTGCTGGTTCTAAATCCCATTTTCTAGTGAGAATCCTTAAAGGGAAACATCTTTTTATTAGTATTTTTGTTGCATCATCTGTCACTACAACATAATAAATGTCAGTTACTGATACTGATTCTGAGTATGACACATCTTTCCTCCGCACTGCACCCACACCCACTGGATGCCCTCCTTGTGGGTGCACATGAGGCCAGTTTGGAGAACACGCATCAGACAAAGTTACTAAGTCTAAGATTTTAATCCAAGAGGCCAACATTAGAGTTTATAACAAAGATCTTTGTGGAGCAGGCTTGGATGTCTTTTGCTTCTTTTTGGGGTTATTCATGGCCATCCTGTTCCTGGGTAATGGGAGTAAGTGACACATGCATCAGATTCATAGTATCTGCACTTGTTTTGCAGCTTCCATTAACGGTTGACTTGTGCTCTGGTCAAGTATCATTGACAGGCACAGTTTTAGTGTCAGACAAAGTTGGTTGTTGTATTTAGCATCCGCTCCATTTGGATAGCTAATCGTTCAGCCAAACTGACCACAGTAAAGTGCCGGAAGCACTTGCGGCCTTGTGGTTGAATTTGAGTAAGTTGTAGCTTCCTTCAACATAAGTAAGCGGTGCATTCTTCTGCCCAGTAAGAGTATGTAAATATTGTAGCACGGTGCTCGAATGTTTGGATTCCAGTCCGTCTATTTGAGCAAATTGTTATTTCCTGGAGTGTTTGAGTCTTTGCAATTATAGTATTAGAATCTGGAGAGCCTCTGGGATTTATCTATCACCTCTGATGGAAATACATGTAAATTATAAGTGTTTAGATTCTTAAATACTCATACCCACAATATTTGTCCTGTGTCTGCAAAAAAGACCATGGAAGAGACATGAGTTGATTCCAAATTCAGACATTGCCCTCAAACGGTCCAACTCAAACTCTACTTGCATGCATATAACGTAATAATTGGCAGGAAAGGTTTCTAAGGCCAATGGTCTGCATAAACTACTATACATTTTAACACGTGTGTGTGAGGTAAAATTGTATATAATGATTCATTTCATTTTCATTGTACAGAAAACAAAGATAATGGATGACAGTGGCTTCTCTTGTGCACTTTTCTAAAAATATATACACATTTTTAAAAAACATATGACTATATTTAGGAATTTACCTGTAAGAGACTGCACCCAGCTACAAATCGCCCCTTACCTTTGCCTTTTCTCCTTTGCTACAATATATAGACCTCTAGTGGATCTAAGTACTTTACCAAAGAACACCATGAAAGTAGTTGCTGACTGAAGGAAGAGCCGTACCCATTCTGTATTTGTGGTAACTAGCACAAAAGTGGTGAAAGATCCCCTCAGCTTTCTTGTGGTATGGGTAAAGAAAACTCTTTTTGTTTAATTCAGGAACCTACGGGTTTATAGGTTTTAATCTTTTTTTCTGTAGATACTAAATTAAGAGTAAGGTTGGGTGGAGTTGTCCTCTCCGCTAACCTGAGTGTACACACACACCCACGCACACAGCCATTCCACTAGTAACAGGTATTGTGAGACTCTGAGATATAACAGGTGTCAAAACAATTTCTTCTAGTGTTTCCTTTCTTATTGGAGTTTCTGTGGAGATAATGAAATTCTTATTTTGGGGGTTATTGTAGGACATCGTAGCTGGCCTATGATTGAGGCAGAGTTGCAGCTGAATACAAATATATCGTGATATTTCATTACATCTCAGATGCTTGTTGGAAGAAAAAAAAAGCTGCAACTGTAAGTGATCTACATCCAACATGACATTATGCACTGCTTTGCAGTAAATGCTGTTTTCCTGTTTTCTTTCATGGTACCAAAATGAAATAATCAGGTTGACAAGAGAACATGAAGTACTATATAGCTGCTTAGCTTAGCTGTATATGGCTCTCTGTGAGTCTGTGTGTGTGTGTGTGTGTGTGTGTGTGTGTGTGTGTGTGTGTGTGTGTGTGTGTGTGTGTTTCATTTCTGAAATAGGAAATGTGGATTCAGAGGAGACATCATTATAACCTACTGTACACATCCACTGGGCTTAGCTATAAAAATATAAACAGTAACAGCATAAACCCCAATTAACACTGATCTGTTGTGATGACATAAATCTTTACAGATAATGTCTATCAAGCTACTATTATATTCGCAGATATCTTTGAGTGTTGAGTTACATGTAGGTCTTTGAGCTGGCGAGGACAGTGAAAGCAAGAAACAGATTCTGTGTGTTCCACACTTGAGAGGACACCCTCCCTCAGCACAAACACCAGCTGGCTTCAGCTAGTTGGTGTGTTTACCTCACGTGGGATCAAAGATAAGTATTCAGATAGCAAGCAGTCCTTTATTGGCTCTTCTGTGTATATGTACCATCCTAGCTTCCATGCTTTAAACCCCACTTTCACTGTGTCATTAATATACCTGACACTGTGTAATTTATATCCACAGCATATGGTTAATGTTTTGTTTTCATCCTTTCTTTGTTGTCTTCTTCAAATCAAAAGGAAGTCAGGAACCTTCTGCTTTGGTAAGACATTAGTCTTTAGTCACAGCTGTCTGCTTGTGGCGCTCTGTTGAAAAGGGCCCAGTCGGGGAAAATGCCGTACTGGCCGCTGTGGTGGGAAGGCTGGAGGGACTGACATTTTAAGGGGTTATGATCTTGTTCTGTGCCCCTCAGCAACCAGCTCTCTGTTTGGGTGC